GAAACGAATCCTTGATTTATATAAACTAAATTCACTCCTGCTACTTTGATCAAGTAATTACAAATTCTACAAAGAGTAAAAGAGAAGTCTTCAAGCACAAGTTCCTAGACTTCCAATTAATGGATGCTGCTCATGCAACAAAGTTCCTAGTTTTATAGGGAATGTTGCTCCATGTGAGATTGAAGTAAAACAACAATTTTCTATTCACGTGAGCTTTATATTTTTGGACCCCGTGAATAAAAATAGGATCGGACAACACAAAGTCACATCAAGTTTCAAATGACATGAAACCGTATCAAATGGCGAATGGCACAAAGTTGAAGAAAAATCTCAAATGGCACAAAGCCATATCAAATATCAAATAGCACGAAGCCGAAGAAAAATCTCAAATGGCATGAAGCTGTATCAAATATCAAACGGCACAAAGCCATAACAAGACTCAAATGGCACGAAGCTATGTTACACTCCAACGGCTTAAAGTCCTCGTCCGCACAAGCTAAAACTGCACAAGGCATCAATCGCTCCAACGGCTTAAAGTCCTTGCCTTAAAACTGCACAAGGCATCAATGCTCCAATGGCCTAAAAGTCCTCGCACGCATGAGCTAAAATTGCACAAGGCATCAAACGCTCCTTGCCTGCACGAGTTGAAACTGCACAAGGCATCAAATCCAAACAAGTACCAAATACCAAGGAACTATGAGTGACTTGATCCCTGAACGAGGGTACGTAGGCAATCTAGGGTTCTACCTAGGTGCAGTCACAAAATCAAATAAACACCCAAATCCCCAAGTTATGATTTATTCATATTAGAATCAAAGGGTATTCCTTTCCCAAAAGAAGGGTTGTAATTAATAGCCGTGTAACCTAGAATGGGTCGAACTCAAATTAATAAAACCCTCTTCGAAAAAATGAACGAGAATGAAATTGTGTCGAGTGAATTATTTGTTTACATATTGTTTACAATTTTTTTCTCAACAAGCGTAAAATCGACAAATCATAATTCTTATAGTTGGGCGATTTTTAGTTGGACTACTCTAATATGGGTCTTGTACTAATCATTAAACAAAACTTATAACATGATTTTATTTATTTATTAAAACTAAAACTTTTCAAGCCCTTTTGATTAATTTTCCTTTTATTAAAACGTATCTATTTCAACTTGAAACATACCAACATATCGGCTAAATTATGTACACAATTCAAACTATCCTTTAAAAGGAAATGTACCACTAAATTCTATTTCTCAAATGTACCCTCGTCCATGGTATGTGAAAATGATGGAAAGATGAGTATAAAGTGTGCTAAAACAAAAAACTTACCCTTTGGTACGAATACTCAGATCAAGAAGTGTGCATAAAATGAAATATGAAGGAAGTGCAGAAAATAGGACATAAATACCGCCCCTTGCACGGCAAGGGATGGAGAGAAAGGGAAAGTGATGCGACAATTATACGCACACAATTTAAACCCTCTTTTTGTCAATTGTAGTGAAGAATGTAAGTAGGGATCGTTCTTAACCGGGGATTAGGAGGGATTGCAAAATCACTTGGAAACTGACTCAAAAACGTAAAATAAAGTTTGAAACACTAAACTAGACTCAAAGAATGCAAAACTAACAATAAAAACACTCAAACAAATCAAAAGACTCAAAACAGCCCCCAAAACACTCAAAACTGCCTTAAAATCACTTTCTGGGCAGTTTTGAGCACTTTGGTAACTTTGGACGAAATTGAGTAATAGAATGAATCAAAATGCTTAAAAACACAAACTAAGATACTTTCTAACTAAAATGACATAACAAAGAAAAGGGGGATTGGGTTTGGATGAAATTGAAAACAAAATAAATACTTGGGAACAAAATAGATTGTAAAACGAAGAATGATGAGAAACTAGTTAGTGGGTTCCTTATCCACACATGAACATATGCATATAATCGAATCCACAGGGACTAATTGGACCTATATAATTACTTGTTTTGCAAGAACTCTTTACTAGAGAAATAAAACTAATCAATGTAGGCAGATTTGTTGTTGTAACTTAAAAGCATAAGGAAATGAAGTAAACACAAATAAATGAATCAACAACTAATAAAATGAGATAGTATCAATGGAGATGAAGCTAGGGATTCGATTTCACCATTGCTAAACCAAGTCCATGTTTGTTAAATCAAAACGTATTCAACTCTCCAATCTGCAACTAGGGTTCGTTTTACTTATTTATGATCATCCATTTGATGTGTGGTTGTGATCAAGTACTCCTAATATGCAACCTAGTTGTGATGTTCAACTTAGATTAGCAAGTAAGAATCCATTAAGAACAAGAAAACTTCAAAGAATCAAAGAAATCACATGGCAGGATGTATGCATAGCAGTTTCTTCATTCATTCACATGTCTACCAAGATTAAGCATGATGTGTACTATAACCTTGATCAAATAATTCATAAGCAGCCCTAATGGTGATCAAACATTAAGATTAACAAACAAATTAAACTATAAAATCAGTGAATGAAACAAGAACACAGATTGGTGAATCAAATACTTTAACTTAATAACATGGAATAGTTTTGCAAGGCTACATCGAATCCACCCCTAGCCAAAGGGGGATTTAGTTCTTTATAACATTGAAATCAAAGAAACACCTAAACATTCCAACAACTCAAACGTGAATTGTATGAACGTTTAAGCACTCTTTTCTTCCATTCCTCAAACATACAAAACAAAGAGAATTGAATTTAAACATTGAAATCAAAGAAACACCTAAACATTCCAACAACTCAAACGTGAATTGTATGAACGTTTAGGCCCTCTTCTCTTCCTCTTCGTTGTAGCATAAGGTCTAGGGATAGTTGGTGGGGAGTGATGGAAATGGAAGATGGTTTTTTGGATTGTAAGGGAGAGCACGGCAAAAGTGGTTTGATGTCTACATTCTGAAATGGAAGAAGTTGTGACTGAAATGTGTATGAAAATGAGAGTGAATGAGAATGAATGCAATGGATGCTTATTTATAGGTAAAATGGGGGGAACATGACAGCTAGGAGGAGGAATATATGCATGTGCAAAGCTGGAAATGCAAGCAGAAAATGGAAGGGAATGCATGTGCACGGCAATGATGGTGTTTTCTTGTGGTGAATCTGAAATGGGATGGCATGTGGATTAAAGGGGTAATGATGATGAATGCATGTGAATTATTTATGAAGGGAATGCATGTGCTTTGACAGAAATGAAAGGAGAATGTGCACGGCATGGGAGAATTTCTGGAATGTTGAATGTGCATGTGAATTAAAGCTAGAGTGATGATGATGAATGCATGTGGAATGGCTGAAATGAATGATTATGGATGCATGTGCAATGTTTTAAAGGATGGAATGCATGTGAATATGATGGAAATCTGATGGGAACTCACAGCAAGGATGATTTCTGGTGGTGAATGGGTGTATGTGTGAATGATTAAAGGAACATGTGGGTTGGAAATGATGAAAGAAATGCATGTGAGTGACAACTAGATATGTTGATGAATGCATGTGGAATGTTTGTGGTGAGTGAATGTGCACGGCAATGAGTGGAGAAATGTGTGAATGATGGCAGATTTGTGTGGATGATATGTTTAGGGTCTTGTAAGGGTGGAAATGCATGTGGAGTGCATGATTGTTTATGATGATATGGATGGTTCTTTGCATGGCTTTTGAAGTGATTGTGGGCTTTGGAATTGGAAGGAAATGCATGGCCTTGGGGTTGGTTTAAGAGAGAATGGGCTAGGCCCTTTGTTTTATGTCCAAAATGAATACAAGGCCTTCAAATTCGTCCAACACTTTGGCTCCAATCATATGCTATCCATTCCAAGCCCAATTTTGCTCCAAAATGCTCCAAAATGCATCTTTTTGCTTCCTTAGCCATATGAACCTAAAAACACACGAAAATGGCTTAAACTACTAAAACAACTATGAATTAACAACATAGATGCACGAAAACAAGCTAAGTAAGTCGCCTAAATATGCTCCTATCAGAAAGGTGCGGCAAAGGGGTGGAAGGGGTCTAGGGCCTTTGTTTTGTGTCCTAATGTGCATACAAGGCCTTCAAAGTGGTTGGAAAATAAGGAATTTCAAGATTAGGAAAGGTTACCAAAATGGGAAACCTTGGCTTAACTTTCCTAAATCAAGTAGGAATCCTTGTTGGAGTAGGAATCCTTATTCTTCTAGGAATCCTCATGTGAGTAGGAATCCATCTTCAATTAGGAATTCATATTTCTTCAAGTCTTCAACTCATTCATTCCTCTTTTGCTCCAAAAGACTCCAATTTGCATCTTCTTGCACACTTTGGCTTTATAATCTGAAAACGCACAAAAGTGACTTTAAACACTAAAATAACTAAGGAACACAACATAAATGCACGAGAACAAGTCAATTAAGTCGCATAAATATGCTCCTAACAAAGAAGAATGGAGAGGGTTGATTGACCAATCGAGAAAAGCAATGGCATGAAAAAATTGTTAATGGTTGTAGAAGAAGATAGCTCGTTAGTTACTTGTACGGTGTGGAGTTTGGAAGACAATGTACTTTAGAAGCATCACTAGATCAAGTTTGAGGTGTTTTAAGATTTTTAAAACTTATCTACTACATTTTAGGAGATTTAGGATATTGATATGATAATTATTAAATAATTATAGGTAAATTAAATGGCAAATCATGTAATATTACATTAAAAAGTATGTAAAATTAATTGAATTCATAAAAAGAGCAAATGTTTAATAAAAAAAATTAAAAAATATAGCTCCTATATCAAAGCCCGGACTTTTTAGAAGACGATATTAGTCAAAAGAGGGTGAGGCTCTTCAAATTCTCTTTGTGAGGATCTTAGATTTCACATTTTATTCGTTTATTACACATTATGCGACCAACTTACTATAGGAACCGGAACCAGATGGGGTCCAAATCCGCGAATAAAAACTAAAACCCTTTTCCCACTATGTCTTCCCCCATCTTGACCCCGCGCTGTTTTTTCCTCCACCCCACCATTTTCAGTCTCATACCCCGCCCACCACCCCTCCCCCGGCGTTTATATCTCCTCTTCCCACTCGTGTTTATCTCCTCCTCCGTCCCCCCAAAACTTTCTCTCTCTATCTGTATACGTATATATTTGTCTCCCTACTTTTCGATTTCAGCAGGGAAGGATGTGGTAAGAAGTTTTAATTACTTGAAAGGATCTCCAAAACATTGATGACTCTATGCGGGTCTGGAGTTGGTTGCTCGGCTGGGGTGGGTGGCGCAGGTTTGTCGACTGTCAACCCCTGCACGCCGGCAGCCGTCCAAGATTCACCGGCCGACGGCATCAATAGCAACATTGGCAATTTTCAGGTACCATAGACAATCATTCATCTGCTTTTTTTTTTTTTTTTTTTTTAAATTAGTTCTTTTAATCTCCTCATGTTAGATTGATAACACTAAATGGGAAGGCATTTGTTGTTTTTCTTAAAGTGCTAGAACTGTTATTTTCTCAGAATTATACTTTAAAAACAAACTTCTGGGTTGGAATTTGGTATAATGGAGGTCACGGACCGAGAGAATTACTTAGGAGAGGGTGTTATTGAGGGCTATTCACAAAAATCCAATGACATTGATGAACATGAAGATCACTATGCTTCTGCGTCTTCTTCCAAGTCGCAATTCAGGTAATTAATTAACTTTATGAAAAAGTTAGAGAATAGCTTGTTTATGTATAGTTCTGATGTTGAGCTTTATTTTCAGGAAAGTGGCATTGAAGGCTCGCTGGAGTGATGAGACGGGCATGGCTGAGGTTGTAGATAAAAGGGGTACAATTTGGAGGACCACGGGAATTGTTCGTAGTAGCAAGCTCTATTTCTCCATTGAGGAAGTTTTGTAAGTGAAAAAACTATATTTTAATTTTGATTGTTGTCGTAGTGTCTGCGGAGTTTCATGCAAATCACTGAAAGATTTTGTTTAGGTAAAACTGTAAAATATAATAGATTGGACTTGAAGTAATCCAACTATAACAATCTTGATTTCCTTCCATTTCATTGTCTTACTTTCTGCTTCGAGAAGCCTTAGATTTTCGACATGCTGTTTGTAGCTGAATATATGCCTTTCAATGCCTTGATAGCCTAATAGTTACCTTATGAAATTGTTCCTTTCAATAATTTTATGCAAGATTTAAAAAGGTATTGGTATTTGAATGAAAAGGAACAAGTTTAGGCTGCGTATTTGAATGCCAGCTTCAATTGACCAGCACATTTATCAAAACATGGGACATTTCAATAAATGTAGTGAAACCAATGTTGAGCTGCACATCTATTAGCCTGGGGAGTGATGGTTTTGTTTTGGTGAAGTGAATTTTATCCTGAATATTAAATTACGGTGTCATACAATTTCCTCTCTTAGGTATTTTTTAGCAGTCTACAAGTCTTTCAGCCAATTATGCAATACTTTAAGAAAATTATCTCCCAAATAACTGGTCATTTCTCCTTTACTGATTAAGTCTTCTTGGTTATCATTTGAGAAATAATTATGCTCATGGTGATGTTGACATTGTAGAAATCTTGAGATAATTAACCGAAAAAATGTATGCTAGCTTGATCTCTTCTTTGTTTTTCTTTAATTGCCTATTACAATTGGTTTTATATGTATATAATTTGTTTCGAATTACTCATAGACCGCATATCGGGGTTTTGGGAAAGTTTTAAGGTTAGTCTTAAAGGGATGCAGTGTAACTGTTTTGATAAATTTTCATATTATGGTCTGGTAAAGGGGTGCAGTGTAACTAGTTGTGAAACAACAATCTCTTTTATCTCGTCAAATTCCAAAACTGTCTGGGAAAGCGATTTGCTTGGTATGGGACCACAAAATGAAAGTTTATCAAATTTGCGACGGACCTTGAAATTTTTCCAAACCGTCGATAGAACTCCTATGAGATCTACGAAACAAATTTTATACAAATAATGATAAGCAATAAAAAAAAGAAGGAAGATTGAGATTAAATTCGAAGGACTTGCATCTTTTCTGTTAATAGCCTCAAAAGATTTATGTACTAGTCAGCATCAACACGAGTATGATTATTTCTCAAATAATGAGCAAGAATGCTTGATCACTGCGGGAGCATTGATGGTTCCTTTAGAAGATGATTTTCTAAAAGTTTCACATAATTGCCTAAACACCGTATAGCGTGCTAAAAAACAAATACCTAAAGAGAGCAAACCGAATGACACCACAATTTAACATTAAGGATAAAACTTCAATGACAGGGATTCAAAAGGTACAAAATAATATAGAATGTGAAATTACAAAATTCAAACCATTAGAATAAATTTCATCCGCCTTAGGGACTCTGCCAAAAGCCTTTTCAAAAGCTAATGCCGTTTACATGTTTGGCAATCACTGCCTTGCCGTCTATTGGCAAGCTAGTGATGTTGTAAATTCACCAAATTGAAAGCATCTCTTGTCAGCATGATGTAAATGTGAATTCTGGTAATGATCATGAAATTTGTGCATTGTCCCATTGAAATGGAAGTGTTAGCAAATTGTAACAGTCCTTTTAAAGGTTTTTGATTGAAATAGGGGCTTTGCTTCTTATGGACGATGGTGATATTAGCCTTTCCTTGGAAGACATGTATGTGAAGATTTCAAATGGAAAGCACGGGTGCAGTTGGGAGGAATTTCAAGCTTATAGTCAACTCAAATCTCTTGGTTACATTGTTGGGCGACATGGTGTCCCCTGGTCTATGAAGATTGTGAAGAGTAATCATGAATCTGTTTCTTCTTACAGTTGCCGTGGCAATGATGAGGCAGTGGACTTGGATTCAGAAGAGTCTAGGTCTGTGTTTGGATTGTTCAATGAGATGCAAATTGATGAAGCAAGGCTGGTTTTTGATGTTTATCTCCCAAACAGCAAGTTCAGGAAGTCTTCTCCTGGTGACCCAAGTTTTGTGCTCTGCTTTACCAGGTATTCATATTTTGGTAAATCGTAAGAGTTTAACGAAGTTGATTCTGTTTGGGATTAGCTGCCATTTTTCCTTTTCTTTTAGATATTGATAATCATTATCATCAGATATGCCTACTCTTTGAATAGTCCAAAGACTAAGAGCTCGTTCGGATGTACTTTTAAAATAATTGAAAGTGCTTTTGGTGAAAATGTTTTTAGAACCAATCTTTAGTAAAAATGCAAGTAAATCCTACTTAAAGTGCTTCCTGGAAGAAGCACATAACTGGTGTTTCTTGCAGAAAACACTTCAAATGCTTTTAGAGCCCAAAAATAATTTTTTTTAAAAGCGCTTTCAATCATTTTAGAAGCACATCCAAACGAGTACTAATATTTTGTGAGTATGAACAGATAATTCCTTTATAAATACAAAAACATGTTTAGTAATTAACAATAATTAACAGATATTGCCATCTTGAAAGTTTTAATGGATCCCTGTTTATCATATTTGAACAGTTTAGATTCTTCACCCAATATGAATAGGTGGAAGGAACTGAACATTTGCCCAAACAAATCAGTTGGAACTCAACATTCTTAAAAAAAGTTCTTTCCTAATTCTCTGTATTATTGAATGATCCGATAAGTGTCTCGTTCTCATGTAATTATATTGAAATGTACGCTTGCCTTCTCTCTTTTAGGGGTCATCCACCATCCAAAGCAGACCTAGAAGCCCTCGAGAGACGATGCAGGAACATTCCCGTGAAGGTTTGTCATGTGGAGCAGGGGGGTGTGAGTTTATTTTCCTTTGACAAGGTGGAACTTCCAATTCTTCCTTGATACCTGGATTTGGTGATGTTTTATATTACACGAGTCGACGCTACACCAACAACATATTAACATCAATCTTTGCTAAAAGCATATTTGTATTCTTCAAGTTACTCGAAGCAGATCCTGCATTGTTTTTGTACAACTTGTCTACTTTTGCTAATCTCCTCAGTTCAACATAGGTTTATTCATTTGATCCCCAAAATAAGAAGAGAGGCTCTTTTCATACGTTGGTAGGTTTTCCTACTTTTCTATTTTTACAAAAGGAAATTTTGTTCAGTAAATAATTTCATATTTCGTCATAGATAAGTCATACATTCATTCATCTCCTCCAGGGTTGCAACTGTTTATGTCTCGTTCGCGGTAGTTGAGATCATCAACATTAGAAACCAAACAGATTATCAATTCTTCTTCTTCCCGCTCGATGCAAAAGCAGGAATATCAAGAATAGGTGAGGTTAAGGTCAAATTTGAAGTCATGTCAGAACAAGAGAAACACGAGCAAGAATTCGGACTCATTGAATCTCGACATAGCGATTGAAGGCACAGGCATGAACGGCTGGGTTGTGTTTGGTTGATGGATTATGCGTTTGTCATGAGCGTTGGTAGTGCAATGCAGATGCAGGAGCTTATGAACATCATGGCTCCAGGTAACTACAGCGCTCATGCATATGAGCTCATGTTGAAAACCACTGTCATGCTTAAGGTAATCAATGGCGTGTCGCATTTGTTGGTGAATCTTAGCACAAACGTTTGATAGATGGCCTGAATAACGGGTTAATTACACTAACACCTTCTGAGGTTTTTTGAGTTTTCACAAAACCTCCTCAGGTTTGAAATATTACACTAACACCCCTTGAGGTTTTAATTCACTTTCACAAATACCCCTTCGGTTGATAATATGACTATAAAAAGACAAATATACCCTTTTAATTAATTACTTAAAAATAATAATAACTGTATAAATAAATAAAAAGAATATCAAATCATATATCAAACACGGCATTGACTCGCATCAATGCCAAACCAGTCATTTTCAAAATCAAACACAGCGCCATTACCATTGTCGACTTCGTACTTGAATACGAGTATCTGGTTGCCCGTACTCCCACCATTGATGACAATCCAACACCATTTAGTACCAAAATTTCTCGAATTTGTGCGAAGACGAGAAAGTAGCATACTATGAGAGCTAGTGCGATGGCAACAAAGGCGAAGATTAAGATGCTTGATCTGGGGTTGTGCTTGGAGGTGCAGGAGAAGAGATTAGATCGGGTTATGGGTTGGAGTTGGAGCTTAACTGGATCCACATTGTTGTCGTCGTTGTTGGCAGGCTTCAAAGTGACCCGTTTGCGGGTATTCAATAGTCGGATGAAAAATCAAGAGTCATAGGTGTTCGGGCGAAGATCTCTCTGGAGAGGGCTCCTCGGCTCTCAGCACAGCTCCCCAAGGGATTGGCACTTTAGATGTTAGTCAGGCTCTTGCTTGCTGATGTGCTGCAAGAAGATGGCATAGTTAGTTCAGAAAGGTGCCTTTGTAGGGCCTTAAGTGTAGGCCTTGAGGCTTGCAATCAAAACTAACTGAGTGCTAGGCATGCCATTGCTATCTCAATATAGTATATGTAGAAACAAGTGTGTTTAGTCAATTACTTGTGCCCCAAGTTACTCGGACTTCTTGTTATCAAAGGATTGTCGTGGATGGGTTAAGTCCACATTAAGTTCTTTTTCTTGCCTTGTGACCAAGGACTTTCAGTTCATAATCTTGTATGTTCAAATGAAGAGAGTCCAGATCCCCTTAAGTCATCTACTCGGTTCTTGATTAGTTTTAAATGAAGGCATATCCATTAAAGTGACCAGATCCAGGCATAAATGAGACTCTTAAAGTAGGAAAACAGATGAATATGACTTGAAAACATATTGGAAAATACATTAAGTAGTAGATCTATTAGCTTATAAAGCAAATAAAGAGCTTTGAGAAAAATTCACCTTGTCGAGCAAGGTTGAACTTCTTGCAATCACTTTTTTTTGAGTTTATAGGGTTTATACGCTAAAAAGGGATGGATGGTAAACAAGTTTACACAAGGGAATCGATACTACGCCACTAGGGGTGATAGCAAAGTTTTTAAACTAGACAAAAAATGGCTTTTGTAGGGAATGATCCTGAAAAGGACTGAGATCTGGGCTGATTATCACTTTTAGATGCAAATCTGGTTTGAGAGTAGAGTTTGTATGTTTGTTTGTTTGATTGGTTGAGTGTCCTTGTCTTTGGGGGCCTCTTCCTCTTTTTATAGGTAGATTAGCCCAACTACAGTAGCTTCGCTCTTGCCCGAAAGCAATTGGAGGGTAGTGACTCATCAGCTTTTTACTTGTATTGCCATTGAAAAGTGTTTTTTGGCTGATTAGTCCCCATCACATGACATTTAAATCATAGGCACGGGGCCTATGCATTAATGGGAAGGTGCCTATTTGTCTTTGGGCTTGATGTTGGACGTTGGGCAAGTCTTTCTTTTAATTGACATTTCTGGGCTTTCACGTATTTGCAGCCCATGTTCAAATATTAACCCAAGCAATAGGAATTTTCGCAGGCAATTTGACAAAAACAATGATCTTGTAGTAAAGGTTTCTAATTGGAATGCAATGAATAATTAAATTCAAATGTGAAAGTGTAAAAATATAAAAATGAAGATGTGTTTGATCGGAGACGGAGAGGAAGTGATCAAACTTTCTCCCTCTTGATCTCACTGTGTGCGTTGCAGATGGTATCTGAGAAAAGTGAATCACCTCTTTGGTTTTCCTATAGAGGTAGGTTCCTAGTCCTCCTCAATCCCTCATAGCGAGGATGGTTTTCCAATTAAAATTATTTTTTTAATGTTTTGTATAACTTTTAATTTGATTTGATTTTTTTTATTTATTTATAAAAGTTTTTTTATTTTGTTAAGTAATTAATTATAGGGTAAATTTGTCTTTTTCTAGTTAGATTTTCAACCAAAGGGGTATTTGTTAAAGTGAATTAAAACCTGAAGGGGTGTTTGTGCAATGTTCCAAACCTGAAGGGGTTTTGTGAAAACTCAAAAAACCTCAGGGGGTGTTAGTGTAATTCACTCACTGAATAACGGTAAATGGTTTTTTGTCAACATTATTTAGTTAGACCGTGTAACGGTATATTTCAAAATGTCATGGTAGAGGCCACATTTCCCATAGCATCCAGATAGTCAATATTCTTTATCCTTACATTTATTAACCCAACAACCAAATATCACATTTATTAACCCAACAACGAAATAATGACACGCGTAATAACATTAGATGCTAAATTTATTGTCGATAATGAAAAATTAATTTTGACTAGTTATAATCTGAGCATGGACTTACCAATTGTTGGAACCAAATTCGCACACGAAGATGCACAAATTCATTAACCTGTAAAGGAACAAGCAGCTGTAATTAACCAAGGACTAGGGGTGGGGGTGCAGAACAAAAGCTTTTTGACAGTCAAGTTAATAAGCAAATATTTGAGACTCAAGCAGTAGACAAAATAATAAGTGTGACAATTAGTTATAGAGCTGAAGGCCTTTTAGGATATGAAATCCATATTAAACTGGGAGAATCCCAAAGGATAGGAGTAGATATTGTATCCTCTTAGAAGTGTAATTATTTGCGACGCATGCCGATCCTTATATTGTAAGAATTCTAAGAATATAGGAAACCTACTGATTCCTTATCAGATTAGGTTTTCATGTCTAATATTCTCTATCCTTACATTTATTAACCCAACAACCAAATATCTCATTTAAAGGTTATAAATAATGACACGTATAATAACATTAGATTTTGAATTTATTGTTGACAATGAAAAATTAGTTTTGACTAGTCATAATCTGAGCATGGATTTACCAATTGTTGGAACCAAATTCGCACACCATCGTGTGTGAAGGAAGATGCACAAATTTGTTAACCTGTAAAAAAACAAGCAACCGTAAGTAACCAAGGATTAGGGGTGGGGGTGCCAGCCAAAAGTTTTTCGACAATCAATTTAGTAAGCAAATATTTGAGACTCAAGAAGTAGGCAAAATAATAAGTGTGTGACAATTAAGTTGCCAGAGCTGAAGGCCTTTTAGGATATGAAATCCATATTAAACTGGCAAAATCCCAAAGGATAGGAGTAGATATTGCATCCTCTTAGAAGTGTAATTGCTTGCGGTGCATGCCAATCCTAATATTGTAAGGATTCTAAGAATATAGGAAACCTGCTGATTCCTTATTGGACTAGGTTTTCGTGTCTTACGGAACAAGCATGATCAATCTTAGCGAAGTCATTAGACTTCGCACACTACTTCAGAACAAGCTGATGGTGACATCGCTGCTCTGTCTATGTAGCTCCATTGTGGCAAGGTTCTAAAAGATGTTAGGTTCTAGTCGGGCGGCAGGCTGGGGCCTAAGTGAAGCTAATTTAAGTAAATTGATTACGTATTGTATAAATAAGTGTCTATTTATACTTTAAAAAATGACACATAATTATATTGGAATACATAAATTGTAAAATAAAATGACATATATTATAAAGTACATAACATATTCAAAGCATGGGAAACAAACATATAATGAGTGTTCATCTAAATATTCAACAAGTCTCTTACATTTTATTGAACAATTAAAATGCAAAATGAAATTTATCGATTTTCTGTCTAAGTGAGAGTCGAGACCTAGACGGGTTTAGGCGGGCGCCTAGGCAGGCTAGGCAAACGCCTAAGCAGGTCTAGGCGCACTTTCTTAATTTTCAAATGCCTAGGAACTAATCGAGGCAATGACTAACTACCTAGTGCCTAGGCGAGCCTAGACGGTGCTAGGTGGGGATTTTTAGAACAGTGGATGTGGGAACTGTTGAGTACATGACCAGATTTCTGAGGTATTCGTATTATGATCCGCCTTACTTAGACCTTGAAAAATCATGGGCCCACAATAGCTCCTAACTACATATTTGAAATTCCCATTGAGGATGGATGGTTATCTAAAGCTAATGTCTTTCAGAGTAAATTGGAATATATACCATTTTAAATCTTCTGACGCATGGCTATTCAACCTTTTGAATGTTGCAAAGCAATCGAGATGTTGTTCAGGCATCTTGTCTTGATAGACATACCATTACTATCACAATGATAATGAAGTCTTAGTTTTGTGTGCACGAAGAACGAGGGTCTATTCGTTACTTTCACAATTAAATTTGACCGTT